GGGGGGGGGGGGGGGGGGGGGGCAGTTTGGTACCCGATAAAGGGAATAAAAGACAAGGGGATCCATTGGACGGAGCTTCCGAATCTAAGAGGATTAAGGCGGAAGAGACTAAGGCCGACTCGGCAGATCTAACCCCAGAAATGGTGGGAAACCCTCGAGTTGAGGGTGAGGAGGAAAACAACTTCTCGATGGCACCCGAGGAAGGGATAATCCTGGGCGATCCTAGGGCCATAAAGATGGTGGCTTCCGAGCCGGATATTGATGCCGTTGCGGCCCCACTTTGTGGCGGAGAAACAATTGAGGGAGTATCGGGTTCTAACCCCGAGCTGGTCGATGGTCAGAGTTTTCCTCGATCTGAGTTGCCTTCGTTAGGTGGTTTGGAGGGTCCTAGTTTAGGGACCCCGAATAGACAAGGGTTTGCCGTGATTGACCTTGCCAGTGCTGTGGTCGTGATTGATTCTCCACAGTAAATGACCCTACCTTTTAAATGAGTGCAGGATGCCCCGTGGGAAGAATCTCCTGATGCGGGGATGCATGTCAAAGCCGGAGATGTGCTCGAAAGGCTCCCAACCATTTTTGAGAGAGTTCCTGAGGTTGATGCTTCCCTCATCTTTAGTGAAATGAGCAGGCTTTGCAAGCAGGTAATCTTCGCTTTCCATGTCTATCGCTCGGGCCTCGGTTGCCTCGACCTTTTTCTTTCTAACTTGTCGTTTTTTGTGGCTTTAGGCCAAGGTGATTTTCAATCGGACTTTCACTCGGTGTCAGGTCGAGGTGATCCGCCTCAAGCGTGAGAAGGCTCTCCTTACTGAGCAGGTTATCTAGTCCCCGTTTGCCTTTATCTGAATGTTTTGCCAGATCCCACTATTTTAACATCTCAGATCTGATTTGTGCAGTTTGAGAAGGAGCGTGCCCAGCTGAGGAAGGAGCTTCGGGCCAGAGACTTTGAAGTCTCTGAACTCAAATGGCGTGAGAGAGAGATATCTTCCGAGAGGGATTCCCTCTAGGAGAAGGTGATATTAGTTGGGCGTCAGCTTAGTGAGGCGTGGGAGGATAGTGGCAAGTACAGAGGTTTCCATTGTGAGCTGGTGGCTGCATTATCTAGGATCAAGACCGAAGTCGAGACGCTTATATCTTTGCATGGAGAAGATGCCATTGTGACAAGTGCCCAAGCCGGAGGGGCACCCGAGGGGGCCAAGAAAAGGTTGACTCGGGCTATGGATATATATATGTGGGGGATATCATTTTGCCTGCTCAGTTTGAGAGAATGGAGACCCTAGAGAACAGAAATAATGCCTTGCTTGCTTTAGGGGGTGCGCCGAGCAGTGGCTCAGGAGGTGATAAAAGAGAAGGCGGACCCCCCTAAGGGGAAGAGGCCTTCGAACAGAGGCTTCTGAAGGACCCGTAGTCGTCGGGACGCAACCTTTGGTGGAGACACCAGAGACCTCCCTTTCGATGGTAGATTAAGATTCTGTTTGGTCCTCTCTTTATAATGGTTTTTTCAAGACTTGTAAATATCCCCCTGGAGGTTATAAGAAGGGTATTTATTTCTTGTTCCTTCCTGCCTTTTTGCTTTTCAGAAATACTATGTGATGTTCTTTGACTTTCGAACCAGGATCCCATCTTCGGGTTAGACCCCGGGCTTCACTATCATCGGGACTAGTGACAGTGACTCGTACACACTGGGTTAGTTACTTCTTAGGGTAAGCTGCCATTTGAGCTCTTGTATTTTGCTTTCAGGTGTTTTTATTAGGTCGAGCTCGGTCTCTGAGTCGGATCTCGACTCGAGTTCATCTAACCCTCAAAGTTTTAGAATTTTGAGTTGGCCCTTGGGCTCTTACGCATTGGGTTGGAGCGATTTTTCATGTGCATGGACTTGAGGCTCATTAGGTGGCGACAATGGCTCTTACGCTTTGCCCTTAGGCATATGTAGTTAAATGTTTTGGGTTCAGTCTCCGAGTTAGGTTTCGACTCGAGCTCAATTGACCCTCAAGTTTTCGAATTTGTGTGGGTTGGCGACAGTGGCTCTTATGCCTTGGGCCGAAGCGACCTTTTAGTGTGTGTGGCCCTAAGTCTCATTAGGCTGGCAACAATGGCTCTTACGCTTTGCCCTTAGGCATGTATAGTTAACTATTTTGGGTCCGATCTCCAAATCAGGTTACGACTCAAGCTCATTTTACGCTTTGCCCTTAGGCATGTATAGTTAACTATTTTGGGTCCGATCTCCAAATCAGGTTACGACTCAAGCTCATTTTACGCTTTGCCCTTAGGCATGTATAGTTAACTATTTTGGGTCCGGTCTCCGAATCAGGTTACGACTCGAGCTCATTTTGACCCTCAAGTTTTCAGATTTCAAGTTGGCAACAGTGGGTCTTAAGTTTTTTGTCGATGTGACCTTTTAGTGTGTGTGGTCCTGAGGCTCATTAGGCTGGCGACAATGGCTCTTACGTGCTTGGTCGATGTGACCATTTATGTAGGCTTTATTATCCTCTTATTAAGGGCTTTTGAAGTAATTTTTACCTGACCCGTCATCGGTTCAAGAAGAACCTCAATTTCGAGTAACTTGCGGCGATATTTGAGCACCTCAGGAGGTTTGGTTTGGAGGCTGAGTAGCTCAAAACCTGTGATTTGGGGCCGATGTGGTCAAAGCTCTTTTGCCTATGCCGAGGGTAGCATGTTTAGCTGGTTCTTTCTGAAGTAAACTTGGAGTAATTGAAGGCCTATGTGGGCTGGCGACAATGGCTCTTACGCCTTGTAGCGATGGTCGGGTGTCCCTGAGTCGAGTTAGTTTGGCTGGTACAGCCGTGTGACCAGAGTCACTTGTGTTTGACCGAAGCCTTTGAGTCCCAAATGATGTAGTTTCGGCATCTATATCAAGGGTATGCATTTTTAGGGGTCTTACAAGTTTGATATATAGCCGAAACTTTAGGATCGGGTCTATTCCATTAGTGAGGTCTAACAAGTTTTTCATGTCGTTGAGGTCTTACAGTTTTTACATGTCGTTGAGATCTTACAGTTTTTACATGCCGTTGAGGTCTTACAGGTTTTACATGCTGTTGAGGTCTTACAGGTTTTACATGCTGTTGAGGTCTTACAGATATAGTTGCTGCCTTATGTAGATTTTACGATACCGAGTCTACCAGCTTGGGTCTTATGGCCTCGGGTTGTAACAAGTCGATGGAGGTGGCGCTTGACGGAAGTCCCCGAGTAATTGAGGGCTTCTTGACTCGGGAGATATTGTTTGCAAACGTTACATTGCCTCATCGAGGGCTTATGATTTTGGAGATCACAACCCTGAGGTCGCACATTTTTTGAGATTTCGGCATCGGTCTCCGGGTGTTCGTGGCACCTTCAGTTTTGCAGACGCTTTACGATCTTGGTGTTGCCTCGTTGAGGGCTTACGATTTTGGAGTTTTGACCGGGGAGTCGTTCAGATGTCGAATTGTTGATGCTTGTCTCCGAGTGTTTGGGACATTTTTGACAGAGGAGTCCTCTTTGCTGAAATGTCGAGTTTCTTTTGATGTTTGAAGCGCTTTGATAAAAAGTGTTCTTTGATTACCTGATACAAGTACACATGTTTTTGCCGTTAAAAGCTTGGCTGCTATATACGGGCACGGTTTGTTCGACAATTTGGCCCGGTACATTATTTTCCCTATCAAGGTCCTATTTGGGGTGCCTTGGCTTTCCCGAGTAGATTACCTTCTGGGGGGGACCCCTAGTATTCGAGGTGGATTGTAAAATAAATGTCGAACACTTGTTGAATCTCCTTCAGGCCCCATATGGCCGTTGCCTCGTTAAAAACCTTGCCGGTAAAACCCTCTCAGGGACAACATCCGGCCGAAGGAAAAGAGTGCAACGGGTGCTCGAGGATGTTCTCGAAATTTTCCATCGGATGCCCTAGAAATAATATCGTTTTAGCATTGATATGTTCAAGTTGCTTGGAAGCTATTCGCTCTCCATGGTGCCGAGCTTGTAGGATCCTTTGTCGACTACTCCGAGGACGCGGTACGGTCCTTCCCAAGTTTTGCCCAGCTTTCCTTCATTGTGGTTTCGGCTGTTAAGGGTGACTTTCCTTAGAACCAAGTCTCCAAATCCGAAATATCGGAGGTTTGTTCTCCTGTTATAATATATTTCGATCCTTTGCTTTTGGGCGGCAATTCGGACTATCGAGGCTTCTCGTATTTCATCCAGCAATTCGAGAGCCATTGTTATAGCCTCATTGTTCGAGCTCTCAATGGCGTGTTGGAATCTGGTGCTCGGTTCCCCGACCTCCACTGGTATCAAAGCCTCGGTGTCGTATACTAAAGAGAAAGGTGTTTCCCCTGTGCTCGATTTTGAAGTTGTTCGGTATGCCCATAGTACCTCTAGCAATATTTCTCTCCACTTTCCCTTGGCGCTTTCCAGTTTTTTTTTAAGTTTTGGATGATGGTTTTGTTTGTGGACTCGAACTGGCCATTCGCACACGGGTGGTAGGGCGTCGATAGGATCCTCTTGATTTTGTGATCCTCAAGGAATTGTGTTACCTTTCTCCCGATGAATTACTTCCCGTTATCACAGGTTATCTCGGAAGGAATCCCGAATCGGCACATGATGTGGTCCTAGATAAAGCTGATGACTTCTTTTTCTCTTATCTTTTCGAAGGCTTGCGCTTCCACCCATTTGGAGAAATAGTCAGTCATAAATAAAATAAATCTAGCCTTACCTGGTGCCGTTGGCAGGGGTCCAATGATGTCCATCAACCACTTCATGAACGACCATGGTGATAAGATCGAGTGCAACTGTTTATCGGGTTGGTGAATCATCGGGGAAAATTTCTGGCATTTGTCGCACTTCCAGATGAATTCTTTGGCGTCCTTTTCCATGATGTCCTAGTAGTAGCTTTCTCTGATTACCTTTCAGACTAAGGCATCGACACTGGAATGATTTTCGCAAATGCCCTCATGAATTTCTCGGAGTACATAATCTGTATCCCCTGGCCCCAGACATACTGCTAGGGGGCCATCAAAAGTTCTTCTGTACAAAGTTATTTTCATCGAGCAAGAATCGGGCTACTTTGGTTTGCATGGCCCTCGATTCCTTTGGATCCTCGAGCAATTTTCCATCTTTCAAATAATCAATATATTTATTTCTCCAGTCCCATGTTAGACTGGTGGAATTAATTTCCGCATGACCTTCCTTGATTACTGATTTAGATAGCTGAACGATAGCCCCGTGGAGTAGATCGTCTTCTTCAACAGATGATCCCAAGTTTATGAGGGCATCGTCCTCGCTATTCTGCTCTCAAGGTACATGGACTAAAGTCCATTCTTTGAAGCGACGTAATGCGACTTGGAGTTTCTCCAAATATCTCTACATCCTGTCTTCTCGGACCTTGTAGCTCTCATTCACCTGGCTCACTACCAGGAGTGAATCGCATTTTGCTTCGATGGTATCGGCTCCCAAGCTTTTGGCCAATTTTAAACCTGCAATCATAGCCTCGTAATCAGCTTCATTATTAGTCAATTTTGTAGTTTTTATGGATTGTCTGATTACGCCGCCCGTGGGTGGCTTTAGGACTATACCTAGTCCGAAACCTCTCACGTTTGTGGTTTCGTCAGTGAACAGGGTCCATACTGCGGAAGACGTGCCTGATTTGAGTAAATGTTCCTTCTCTACCTCGGGCATGAGGGAGGGCGAGAAATCGGCAATGAAGTCAGCCAAAATCTGAAACTTGATGGCTGTTCGAGGTTGATACTCGATGTCAGAGTTTGATGGCCCATTTGGCCAATCGACCCAATAATTCGGGTTTATGCAATATGCTTTGGAGGGGGTATCTCATTAGAACACAAATATGATGGCATTGAAAATAGGGTTTCAATTTTCGCGACGCACTTATTAATGGGAGAGCCAATTTTTCTAGGTGTGGATACCTAGTTTCAGCATCCCATAGGGTCTGGCTTACGTAATAAACAAGTAATTGTGTACCTTGCTCTTCTCGAACTAGCACGCCGCTTACCGCTATCTCGGATACGGCCATGTATAGATATAGTGTTTCATCCATCTTTGGTGTATGGAGCATCGGTGGGCTAGTCAGATATCGCTTCAGCTCTTCTAATGCGCGTTGGCACTCCGAAGTCCATTCGAAGTTGTTCTTTCTTTTGAGTAAGGAGAAGAAATGATGGCTCCTGTCGGATGACCTAGATATGAATCTGCCCAAAGCCGCTATCTGACCCATTAGCCATTGCACGACCTTTACATTATTTACCACTGCGATTTCTTTGATGGCCTTGATTTTATCGGGGTTAATCTCGATTCCCCTATTTGATACCATAAAGCCTAGGAATTTGCCTGAACCTATTTTGAAGGTACACTTCTCGGGGTTGAGCTTCATGTTGCAAGTTCTGAGGATGTCAAATGTTTCCTACAAATAAGTTAAATGGTCCTCTACGCATAGGGACTTAACTAGCATGTCGTCAATATAAACTTCCATGGATTTGCTTATTTGACTCTCAAACATTTTATTAACTAAACGTTGGTATGTGGCCCCTATGTTTTCAGTCCAAAAGGCATTACATTATAACAGTAGG